ACGCAACAGTCATGTGGTCAAAAGCGCCAGAGTCTATGATCCAGGGACTACGAGTGGAGGACAGTAAACAAGTGGAACCAACACCTGACTGGGCAACAGTAACAGTAGAGGGAGATGGGACAACCTGTTGTTGGGACAGGAACTGAGCATACTCCTCTCATGTAATAGTAATTGACCCAGTGTTCGGTGGAGCTGACCGAGGTATGGAAGCAACAACAGAGGTATCATCCTGATAGGAAGCCTGATTCGTAGCACCAGAAGGTTTTTCATGTAAATCCCAACAGAAATCAATTGTATGCCCTCCATGACCACAGTGAGTACAGGAACAAGATCCACTACGGCCCCCACGACCACTTGTATGACCTCCACAACCACCACAACCACCTCGATGACTATTGTTATGGCTACTAGGAACCACAAGAACTGAGCGATCAGTAGAAACATCATGATCGATGCTTGCGGTAAACAAAGTAGCACGCTATACACGTGAGAAAATCTCAAGTAGTGAAGGAAGACTAGAACCACCCAAATTCTGAGAACGAATAGCCTCATATTTAGGTTTCAATCCTACCAAAAACCTAACAACATTCATGTCCTCANGCAAACAAAGTAGCACGCTGTACACGTGAGAAAATCTCAAGTAGTGAAGGAAGACTAAAACCACCCAAATTCTGAGAACGAATAGCCTCATATTCAAGTTTCAATCCTACCAAAAACCTAACAACATTCATGTCCTCATGTTGCTTCTGCCAAATTGCTACATCAGTAGTAAACGGATAGTAGGTCTTCATCTCCTCACAAACTCCCCGAACGTGAGAATAATAANATGTCCTCATTTTGCTTCTGCCAAATTGCTACATCAGTAGTAAACGAATAGTAGGTCTTCATCTCCTCACAAACTCCCCGAACGTGAGAATAATAATCCTTAATGCTCAGAGTACTCTGTTCTAATCGAAAGTACTCATTGCACACCTTATCGAAAGTTCTAATAGTAGTCAAGTGATCCCATATCTCCTTGGCAGTGTCAAGATAAAGCAAAGTAGAACTAATACTAGACTCAATGCTATTTAATAGTAAAGAAATAATTTGAGCGTCTTCTTGTTTTCATTGATCATACCCAGGAGTATCTTCCTTGGGTTTAGGATTCACCAAATATTTCTTAAATCTTTNCTCATATCTCCTTGGCAGTGTCAAGATAAAGCAAAGTAGAACTAATACTAGACTCAATGCTATTCAATAGTAAAGAAATAATTTGAGCGTCTTCTTGTTTTCATTGATCATACCCAGGAGTATCTTCCTTGGGTTTAGGATTCACCAAATATTTCTTAAATCTTTTGCTTCGAAGAAAGACTTGAACTGATCGGGATCATAAAGTATAATTGGTCCCATTGAGTTTAACAGAGGTCATGGGACCATTGATAAGAGTTAGAGGAGGCAAAGATGGAGTAAGGGACCTGGTATCTTGTTTAGGTTCCATAACAGTGCAGCACATCGCAAGCCAAGTAGCTGTTGCAAGTACTAGGAGAAAAGAAAGTTGTTGGAGGACTAAACCGGAAGAAAGGAAGCAGTTGGAGTACTGAACCGGGCAAGAAAATTGGGCTAGACCACTAAACTAGAAGAAAGGAAGCAGCTAGAGTACTGAACTGGGCTAAAAAACTGGGTTGAACCACTGAACCGGACCAGTAAGGCTCTTTGGACCGCTGAACTGGGTCGGCTGGACTTGTTGGAAGACAGAACCGGGTTGGAAAACTTAGTTGGACCGTTGAACCAGATCGACTAGGCTCTCTAGACTACTGAACCTGCCTGAACCGTGATCTGGACTAAGCTGAATCGTGGGCTGGACTAGGATTGGACTTAAAAACAATTTAAGTCCTGGGCTTTACCCGATTTGATCTAGACCCAACTCCACAGATTGAATCTTTTCTTCTTCGCTGATTAGGGTTCCAAGAGGATCCTCTGGTCTTCGACAACACCACACACCACAAGCCGAAGACAATAGGAACACCACCATTGCTTCCACACACCACAGCCACCACAACCACATGATTACCATGAATAATGCTACTTGACGATAAACAGAAGCCACACCACCACCACAAGCCACCACGCCACCACACCACCACCACAACACCACCACCACGAACAATCACACCAGTGTTAATATATTTAGGATCGTGAACAGAGGTCACACGATGAACAGAGACCACACTATAAGAGTGTTAATATATTTAGGATCGTTTATGCTCTGATACCATGTTAAGTTTGGAAGATTAATATAATATTAGAGACAATATTTAGAGAGAAACAGAGGGGTTAAAAACTTAACCTAGCTCCCATACATCACTTGTATTTATAGTTAACTCACAATAGTAAAAATTACACATACATCCTCTTACTATTAACAATTTACACATACTACCCTAATANGGGGTTAAAAACTTAACCTAGCTTCCATACATCACTTGTATTTATAGTTAACTCACAATAATAAAAATTACACATACATCCTCTTACTATTAACAATTTACACATACTACCCTAATATTTTTAACACATCTCATTAATTTGTTCCGTTGGTTTTATTTAGGATAATTTCATTGGGGAACATTCTGGCTGTACAATTCATACTTGCACTATCCGGAGCCTTTAATTTTACCTGACAGTCTTTAATTGTTTCCTATGGACTAAGTTTGAAAGAAATAGTTCGTTTAAGATTTTTAAAACATTATAACCAATGAGTAAAACATATTATTGATCCAGAATAAAATATGGGCAACAAAATGTAATAGATTAAGAAGCAAGCATCTTCATTGTTGAGGTTGAGGTCTTGTGCTTCATGGAGAGAATGACAAATGAAATTTATGATAACAATATCGAAATTGCTTATATGAGCGGTTTCGATGTGATATTTCTCTAGTGAAGAGTATAATCCTTCCATTAGCAATTTGAGGACAAGATTTTAAAAGTGGATTTAATCAGATCATATGCAGCAAAATTTGTGAACTAATGACTATTTTTTGTGAGAAAATACATTGAATGTTTGAGACCAGCTGAACAAGGAGGAGGTAAGGAAGGATGTCAGTTGAGGTTCTAGTTACGTAGAAGTTTGCTGACCAAAGAATATTTATTGTTGGTTTCTTGTCCAGAAAATGATTGTTGGTAGAATTAAATGGCTTGATAATTTTATATGATACAATTTTCCAGACCACGATTTAGCTGCCAGCAATGAAAACCTGATTTCAAGCTGGTGAGAGAGAGCTTGAATGAAATGGTTTTTTGGGTACCATCCCCTTCAAATAGTTAACTGGCCATTTAAAGGGGAATAGATATTAATCCTACATCAACCGCAAGGTATACTCAAGTGAGTGTGCGGTGTGGAAGGTGATATATAGCTATATATTAATTTTTTATTCCATAAATTTTGGTTGGTAAATCTATGAGTCTAGAATATAAAACTCACGGCATCCTTTTATTTTTTAGTAGTGGTGTTTTATTGAATGATGGGGAGTTTGGCATTTGTAAATACAATTTACTGTCATTGGTTGGATTCTCTGTGTGATGGTCGGAGAATTAGGTAGATTTAAGAAAAAATGATGCACAGCAGCAATGCATAACCAGAATCAGCACTGTTCAGGGTCAGTTAACAGTATCATTGAACAGTAAAAGTTTGTTTAGTTGCCGAAGATTTAAGAAAGAAGATGACAACTAGGATTCGTTTTTAGGCTTCCTTAGGCATCACACCTAGGATTTTGAATAAGCACATGATTGTCAAAGCAAGAAATCGCTGAAAATTTCTGAATATGTATATCTATTAATTAAAACATCAAATAGCTATATATAGAGGTCCAAGTATTTCCTAATCCTGAAAAATTAGAATTCCAAAGGCTTTAAATTACTTATTGATTAGGGGACTAATATAGACAAGAACTAGGACTATATCTACAAACATCCAACACTAGAATTCGACCCAAAAAATACTCTGGCTTACCTGCTTGCTTACCCGGCTCACTCGAACAAGAACTCCAGCTTGGCTGACCCATGAGTCATACTATAACCATTACAACAAATCTCCAATATATTAAGATACCTTTTTGCTCTAGAAAATATTAAAAAACACATAAAATACTAATACCACCAAACTATTTCAAAACAACTAAAGATAAGACTCAATAATGTATATGCAAGCTCCCAAGTAGACTTCACATCATTCAATGTGTGCCAAATCAAAACTTGAGCCTTGGAAGCATCTTTTTTGTGCCTTTTATAAACTTTGTAAGGTTGCCACTTGTCTCCAACAACAAAGACAACTCTCTACATGAATTGGAACGAGGAAGTCAACTTGCCAACGGAAGTAGACATTGTAAGTAGGTGTAGACAAAGGCCCATTAATGGCAAGCACAATGGTAGCGGAAGAGATTGGTTTCAGGTTAATATTTACCGAGCTCAAAGTTGATTTTTCTAACCCCAATGAACATGAATCCATTAATGACTACTCCTAAAGTTCATGTTCTATTCATGTGTTCATTTTGATGGGTGGTTAAAAGTTTGGAGATCTAAAGGCCAAATAATCTAGTTATATCATCGCCTCCTAGCATACATAGTGAAAGTTGGTTCTTGATCAACCAAAATTTTTGACCATTGTATTTCCAGGCTGGGAAGAGTTAACAACCTTCATTCTTAAGTAGCCCTACCAAACCCTTCCACTCCCATCGTTCTTCATGCATTATATACTCCTTATATCTGCTATATAGAGTATAATACTAAATGAGCCGAGCTTTAGTGAAAGATCTAGAAAATCATGTTTGACCTTGGCTCATTTTCAAAAAATGAACAAACATTAACGAGCTTTCTGACGAGTCATGCCTGAGCTGTTCATGAATGATTCATTTTGCAGTTCTAATTCTGATGCATAGGATCATTTCTCTTTGTTGCCCTTGTCCAATGACCTTGATTTTATAATCGATGAGATGGGGAATTTACCTAACAACAAAGCTACTCACCCTCCTGGTTCCACCATACTATTCCAGTTTTACCGTTTGTGGTCTGTGCACTCATCATTATCCTCTCAATAATCCAAGCAAAAACCAAGTTCTTCCTCGTCCCAATTTGGTATACCCTCATATTGTTTGATCGGCCAGTCTTTGGTCTAGAGAGCTCATTGGCATTGTTCAGACTTCAGTTATTGAGATTATTGATCCAATAAATGCTTTATCCATTTATGAGACCTGCTGCAGAATTTAAATGATTCTCATGGTGGTAATATAAAAAATGTAACAATCTGATGCAAACTGGTCATTTCAGGACCATTAGCTTATTTCTTTTCTCATTCAAGCTCATTTCTTGAATCATGGTTGTGCCAGACTTGCACACTACTTGATCATTTGGTTTCCTCTTGTGAAAATGCTTGTGTCCAGAAAGGACCATTTCTGTATATCATATGATTTTTGCAACATGGTATTGAGAAACATATGTACCATCAAATATCATAATTGATAATCAACTCAATAGTCCTTGTGGATCTGTCCTACTCAAATATATTTTTCCTTCCCCTTGGATATCTAGAATCTTGAAGTTTATCATCATTGTTTGAAATGGTTCTAGTGGGAAGCTCTTGGATGCTATTTTTTTGCAAAGGGAATCCTTTTTTTTTTTTTTGGGGGGGGGGGACCAGTTGATCCCTTGCATCTTTATTTTTCCCTAGATGTGCTTACTCGATTCATTTGCACATTCCGTTAGTTAATAGTCTCTTGAATCTTTGAAACCATCTTGGACTGAGTCTCCTTTTTTTTTTCAAGTTAAACCTTGACTTGGCAAGGGACGAGTTTCATTGACAATTCAAAAATTTGACAACCTAGTTAGGGAATTGGAGGGACATTCGGCCTTGCCCCTTAAATTAACTAGTTACAAAAATTTAAAGCAATTTAAAATATCACAAATCCGACTCTTTAGGATAATACCCCCTTTTAGTTTCTAAGGAAAACAACTCTATTCTGAAAAGCCGGTTGTCATGCGCCAATGAGGGGAGCCCTTGGTAGCTGAAATTCTGCAAAATTTTAGGAGATCTCTGTAGCAGCTGTAAATCTGGAAGCCAAAACTGAATGATTCTCTTCCCCAAACCAGCAAAATATTTCCATCTGAAGGCTGAAAAATCCTGATTGCGTATCCACCCTTCGAAATCTATCCACTCCACAGTGACTTGCAGCTGTATACCCAGAAACAGCTTGCAGGCAGCACCCAAACCCATGGAAACTTAACTGATAACCACTTTAGGTATTAAACATTGCTTGAAAACGGTGTTCCTCACAAAATATTAACTCCATACAGTTCATGGAATAAAAAACCATAATCGATTGGAGCTCCAATATTTACTAAAACCATACTGCTTTTTTTTTTTTTCCGTGGTCATCTTGAAGCCTTGCTTTGTCATTGCCCTTGTCATAATCATATAACTGTACTTGGCTTGGGAATTCATGGCAGCTATCTCTTCTTTTTTCCCTTTCCTTCTTTGTTCAGCTTTATTTGAGAGGCCAAAATGCTTTTAGACTTAACCATGAAAGATTTAAAATCAACTTTAGGCCAGAGAAAATCTTTTCCATCAGAGTGAAAACCCCTTCCATGGCACTCACGGGCACAACCACGAATACGGACACGGGACATAGATACGACACGATATAAACACGACATTTCTCAAAACAATAGGACACATATATGTTGAGGACATGCTATAAATAATTATGTTTTATATATATAATTATATAATTTATCGTAAATATAGTGATAATAATGTACTATTCAAGAAAAATTCAATATTTTATGATAAGTAAATGTTATGTTTAGTCATGTAGTGTGGATTTTTAGACTAAAGCATCATAACAATCAATAATCATTAATTTTTTTGTTGGCAACATGTACCCAATATATATAATTTAAATGATTATTCTTATTTTCTCAATTCTTCTTTTTTAGAATTTTTATGCATCTTTTATTTTTATTGTTATATTTTTAGTATAACTTTAATATGTCTAGTCTTGGTAATTACATGTTCTTTTATAATATATGACACTTTGTAGTCAAATTTGTAAGTTTTTTTAATCAATTGTCCACACATGGTTATTGTTTATAGTCTAAGCAAATGTTGGACATGCCACCAAAGAAATGTCGGACATGTATCCAAAATTAAAATTTTATAATTTAATTATGGATATGGATAAAAAAGTATCAGACATGTGTTTGTGCTTCATAGCTCATGAGATTTTGGATCTTTAAAAATGTCATCCTTGGAGAAATNCATGTATCCAAAATTAAAATTTTATAATTTAATTATGGATATGGATAAAAAAGTATCAGACATGTGTCTGTGCTTCATAGCTCATGAGATTTTGGATCTTTAAAAATGTCATCCTTGGAGAAATCTTTTTTGGCCAGTAGAATCATTCAAATTTCCTCCAAAGACGTTTCTGGAACAACTGAACTGTTAATGATCCTCTTATGGATTTCCTCCATTAAAGATCGCGNATCTTTTTTGGCCAGTAGAATCATTCAAATTTCCTCCAAAGACGTTTCTGGAACAACTGAACTGTTAATGATCCTCTTATGGATTTCCTCCATTAAAGATCGCGAAAAGCTTTGGTCTAAAAAATTAGACCCAGTTACGAAAGGTGCAGCTTATACCCTGGGACTTTGTGAACTGAATTGGCTGTTGAACACTAGAGTATTCTGTACATTGATTTTTCTTCTCTTCATTTTCAGACAATTCTACATCAGATTCAAGATCCTCGCTCGTAGTAAACTACTAATAATCTTAAAACAAAAATTCTAGAGACTCAGGGTCGGTAGATGGTATGAACTGTGCAGAATCAGCCCATTTGCATGAGTCTACTTTATCAATTACCTTTTGCGTCAGCTTCTTCTTTGTTTCTGCACTCGTATCAACAGAGACATTAGCTTTTGTTTGATCCCCTACGCTGGGGCATAGCTAGGAAAAAGTTTTAGGGTGGGCACATTAGCACGTTTTATATTATTTTTTTAAACTTAGACTGTAGAAGTTCATAAATTCATATTTATTGAAATTATATTTAATTCATAAAAGTTCAGTAAACGTAAAAGATTAAAAATCTATATGTATAACATGAACAAAAAAAGTAATAATTAAAACTTCTTATCATGAATGAGGTTAATTATTGTTACTTTCGATTGACCCTAGTATGTTTTTATTATTTGAAAGAGATATAAATCAATCTTATTAAAAATATTTCTTTTATATATAAAAATGTGGTAACAATATTTCATTTATGATCCTATAGTTTAACTACATATTGGCACACATTTATATACATTAACGAAATAACCATACAATTTAAAAAAAATTATAAATTAACTAATTATATTCAAAACATATTCGACCAAATCATTCGCAGTGTGTCTTGAAAAATGGCGCATAGGAGGGACCAATTTTTGCATCTACTGCTTCAGATTGCTGGTTGGGGATTGCAGCAGTTTGTATTGTAGTATGATGCTGCACTGCATTGGCAGCAAGAACCTTCACAGGATTGGTTTTCTGCCTCTGTGGAATGGCAGAAGCAGCTAGGGATCCTATAGATTATTGTATAACGTGTGTATGTAGATTAAATGGATTCGATAAAAATTTACCAATTAGGATACTCAAATATACGTCTTTAGTCCAATTTTTTGCTTATTAGTTGATATTTCATACCATAACATTGTGTTGGATATGTATACAGGTTGAGAGAGCCATAGCACCATCATTTACGTAGCCATTGGCTAAGGTAAATTCTCGGCATCACTTTCAACCTTTTTTCCCGTAATATTCTAATGTATGCACATGTGTGTGCCCTTTGAAGGATTGAAGAAGACTATTGAGATTTTGTGATTAAGAGTGTCACTGAATAGCTAAAGAACAATTTTGTCCAGAAGTAAGCAACTTTTTTTTTTAAAGAGGTGTTGTCACATCAGTTGCGAGTAATAGATCTTTCTTCATATTTTCTATTTCAATGTTCTCTATTTGGTTTGAATTGTGTTAGGAATTTTGGTTTTTCAACTTTTTTGGGTTGTATGAAAAAATTTGTTCAAAATTGCCTCATGTTGTATAAGTTTATATTTGATTTAGATCATGGAACTGACTTATGGGTAGAGATTTTGGCAATAACTGTCAAACATGGGCCACATTTGGCTACTTAATTCCTACCAAAATTAAGTTGAAATTTGGCTACTTATATGTTGAAATTTGTTGGTTGCTAATGGAGTACTCTTTGGATGGTTGAAATTGGTGAAGAAGTATATAAGTAATGTACAATGTAATACTTATATAGTGATCTGTTGCTGTTGCAGGCGAATGGAATGGTTGTCTAAGATGTATATAAGTTTCATTATATACCGCAAAAGTTTCGAATATTATTGTCTTAATTTTTTGAATTATTTTGATATGTCCTTTTGAAAAATTGCATGGACACGTGTGGTTGAATTTCTTCATGAGCTCAAGGTTTATAATTTATATGCGAGTAAGAATATTGTACCCAAAATCTTTGGAGAATTCATTTTTAGACAAGAAGCATCTNATAATTTATATGCGAGTAAGAATATTGTACCCAAAATCTTTGGAGAATTCATTTTTAGACAAGAAGCATCTTTCCAAGTTTGACGATTCCTTACAACCCCATGATACACATTGTAATTACATGATTGATAACCATCCAATCTTAGTAACACGGTACTAAACTGTCTTTTTTCAAAATTTTTGCTAACATCTTAGAGTTTGGCCTAAAATGTGCTTGGACTGACCACAATAGTTTTGTAGACCAAACATATAACGTTAAGTTTTGGTAAAATTTTTAACTGTTTCTCTATTTTGTGAATTAGCCTAAAAATGTTATCCAATTTTCAATGGCTAAAGTAAAAGGAGTGCTTGTGAAGATTTTACAAGTTCATTCTCTAGCTACAATTTCTTGCAAGTACTTGCAATAATGCACAGACACCATTATGATGTTCCAAGTGGAAGTTCTAATAGCTGGATTTGATGGTGGAACTATGCAAGTCATTTTTTTTATGATAACTCGTCGTGGTACAAGAGCAGTGGTTGCTTTGGAATTCTGAGTGTGTTTGCATGTTTAATGTTAGATATTCATAATGCTCTCTAGACTCGCACAAATATTTATTTTTTTTATATTTTATTTCCTTTCTGATCAAGTTTTTATCTTTAAACTCTTGCAGAACCTTTGACCTAAGGATCTGTGTGCAACCCTTGAAGAATAATGAATCCATTAGTTTTATATGTGTACAAACGTCTATTGTATGAGACAAATTCGTATCCAAATAATGAATTTGAAGGAACCATGTGTTAATTGATTCAAACAAGGTATGGAAAAGGCGCTAATGTGTGATAAGTTACGAAATTTTATGTTCAATCTCTGATTCAATAACACTAACTTAAGTACAAGTCATAATGATTTACTTACGCGCAAAACACATGTGCATCAACTAGTACTCTTAAAAGGTTATTAAACCCAAAAATATATTTTTTTGTCATTATTATCCTCAATTAAAGTTATAAAGTCCATTGTATCCTTCATGTTCTTTTATCATATTACATTCAATACATAGTCTTCTAATATTCCATATCTTCTTAAGTTAATTGCATCCATAAACTACAATACATAGATTTCTAATATTCCATACCCTTAAACAAAGGCCTAAAGACAAGATTATCTTACCCTAAATTAAGAATTTAATGTCAAGTTGATCCTTTATTTACAGGAGGTCCAAGGGTGACCTTACAAATTCACACAGTTTCTCATTAAGTTGTCAGGCTTCTCTAGTTGTTTGGCTTCTTATGTCTCAATACGGGGCATTTCTCTGCTAACAATTTGTTTGTTTGGAATTCTAAAATCCGGTAATTTTCATTAAAAAAATTTAGTGGGCAAAACCTGATATTTATCACATCCAATTTTTNCTCTGCTAACAATTTGTTTGTTTGGAATTCTAAAATCCGGTAATTTTCATTAAAAAAATTTAGTGGGCAAAACCTGATATTTATCACATCCAATTTTTACAACTTTCTGGCTTCTATCGCAATAACTTTCCAATTCCTCTGTTAACTTACCTTTTCCTTACTTAATTTTCATCATTGGTGCGATTCATATTCGAGCTATAAGCCCAACAGATTCAGTGCATGGAAGGATTCTGTCCAATGATAAGTTTCATTTTCTTCTTTTTATATTATTGATCACT